ATGAACAGAGAAGGGAAGATGAACGAGGGCAAGATCGCTCACCAGAAAAGCGAGGGTTTTCCTCTTCCCGCCGTCGGCAGCAGGAAAACGGCTCAGAGGCCTTCCTGCAAATCCAGCTCCTCAGGCGATGGGCCCGATTCATTCTTCAGTTGGATTTATGGATGGATCCGGTGACTGTCAGATACTGATCTCTCCACAAATGGATGAGATGATTTCCCCACAAAGACGAATAGGATCTCCAGGCAACCAATCGCTCTTCGGCGATTGTTGCTACGGATCCTTCGTCCTTATTCCCCGTGAAGAAGTAGGTAAAACAGAAAACATTTGAGTTGAGAGAACAGTTTTTATTTTGGAATCCACTTGGAAGCTCCAGGTGAATGTGATCACTGTCCTTGACGTTGCTCGCTCGAATCGTTCAAAGGGTCCTGACGCGAGCTTGGCGATCGAGATGGAGCTGTGGCCTGCAGGCCACAAGCTTATTGCGGCGATCTCCGAGCATATACGAGGGGCGTTCAAAAAGTTTTGTTACTCACATAGAAACTGACAGGATTGAAATATAAAAATTTATTTTTCAATATAGTCCTCAAATTTTAATTCATTTATTCTATTTGTCTTTCAAGCTGATAATACGAGGGCCACTCAATAAGTTATCTACCTGAATAAGAAAGAAACATCCGAGGGGAAAAATAACACTTTATTTTTCAATGTAGTCACCTTTTAACTCAACACACTTATTCCACTTTGATTCCAAGGATTTTATTCCCTGGGATTAGAAGTCAACTTCTTGTCCATGAAACCAATCAGAAACGGCAACTTTCAGCTCTTCATTGCATGAAAATCTTTTTCCCCGCAAAAATTTTTTCAAGTGTCTGAACAGAAAACAGTCACTAGGAGCCAGATCCGAGCTGTAGGGAGGATGGTTGAGCTCCTGAAAGCCACACTCCCTCACTGCTGCCTGAACTTTCCATGATTTGTGGACGGGCGCGTTGTCATGGAGAAGAAGGACCCCCCTTGACAACTTTCCTCTGCGTTTTTCCTCGATGGCATCATGTAAATTTTTCATGGTGGTAGCATAGGAATCGCCAGTGATTGTACACTCGTCTGGCATGAACTCAAGCAGCAGTAGTCCCTCGCTGTCCCAAAACACAGTGGCCATAATCTTTCCTGCAGATTTCTGAACACGAAATTTGCGAGGCGTTGGCGATCCCTTGTGCTTCCACTGCATGGACTCCTGCTTGGTTTCGGGATCCCAGTGATGAACCCAAGTTTCATCACCAGTTACTATTCTGGGAAAAAAAGTTTCCCCGATTTGTTTAGAAAACTCCAAGTTTTCCTTGCAGATGTCAGATCTGTTCTTCTTCTGAGCTGGAGTCAGCATTCTTGGGACCCATCGAGAACTGACTTTGGACATGTGTAATTTTTCATGAATAATGTGAATCACTGTGCCCTCTGAAATCCCCAGTTCATGAGCTAAAACAGAGACTTTGGTGCGACGATCCTCCAGTATCGCACTCTCCAATTTGTCACACATTTCCTGATCAGAAGCCTCCACAGGGCGCCCCGACCTTGGGTCATCTTCGATTGACTCTCTTCCCCACTTAAACTGCTTGCTCCAAAATTTAACTTGGTAATAAGAAGGCGAAGACACACCATAAACGTTAGACATACGTTCATGAATCTCCTTAGGTGCTTTCCCTTCTTTGGTGAGGAATTTGATCACTGAACGATGTTCAACTTTCGTCAAATCCATGACACAGACTCAGGAAAAGAAATCTAATGCGCTACCACTTTGAACGGACTTGAGCCACTGAGCTGGTATAGTGGTGGGGCACTCACGAGACCTGTCGAGACATGTCACAGCAGGCACAGGCCTGTTGCTCATCCCTTTCATATTCAGGTAGATAACTTATTGAGTGGCCCTCGTACCTTGCAAATATTAATAAAACCTTTCTAGTTGCGACCCTAACCACTTCTCAACTGCTGCTTCTTCATCGTCTGTAAATCGCCTTCCTCGTAGATGGAATTTCTAATACCGAAACAGGTAATAGTCACTGGGGGCCATATCTGGACTATAAGGTGGACGGTTGAGTTGTTCGAAGCCGCACTCTTTAAAAGTGAGTCGTGCAAGTCTCGCTCTGTGCATTGGTGCGTCGTCGTGGAGGAGCCAAACACCTCGGGAAGGCTTCCCACGCCTCTTCTTGATGGCTTCACGTAATTTTGACATTAATTGGGCGTAATAATCAGCTGTCATTGTGTTCTTTTTTGGAAGGTAATTATCAAGATTACACCTTTGGCATCCCAAAAAATTGTCATCACTAGAGAGCGGATTTTTATGCGAATGCATATTTTTTCTGCAGCCTCCTATGAACATGCAACCCAGATAGGATCATGTCTCATTGATAGAGGAAGCCATTTATGCCATTTAAAAGCCATAAAAATGCATATTTTCACGTTTTTCTCAGCATTTGCATATTTCTGCATATCTGTGCATATTTCTGCATATTTCGCCCATTTTTACGAGAAAAATAAGGGTTTTCCAGGAAAATGTGCTTTCTTTATGAGCTATCGAGGGAAATTTTCATGCAGTTATGAAGTCCGACCAGCAGCTTAGCGAGGGGGGGGGGGAGGTGGTTTCATCCGTTGCCTCCACCTCTCCCGAGGAGTTTAGGAAATTCTAGTCCCCGTTCGTTTCCCTTAGCCCTCCGTTGGCGAATTCCTGGCTTCGCCGCTGGCTGTGACAAGAATAGAACAACTATACCCAGTAGAGGCATGCAATGTACATTAAAAGTTCCTTCTTCCGAAAAATTCGTACTGCATTAAAAAAAAAACATGTTTTCGCATATTTTCCCATATTCGTGCATATCTCATGCATATTTTAGCATTTTTAAGCGCATATGTATGTGCATATTTCAGGACTTATTAACGCATAAAAATCCGCTCCCTAGTCATCACCTTCCCAGATGGCTGCGTGCAAATTTCTTGGGTGGGGGAAATCTGGTGTGCCCACTGTCCACTGCCTTGATTCACATTTGGTCTCAGGATCCTAGTGATGGACCCAAGTTTCACCCCCAGTAACCACACGAAAAATAGAATCATCGTGATCCGAATTGTAAAGTTCCAAATGTTCCGTTGATGAATCAACCCTTTGTTGCTGATCGTGCGGCGTGAGGTTTCGCGGAACCCATATTGCAGCCACCTTTGACATGTGAAGATGATCATGGATGATCGTTTCAATGCTTCCAACTGAATCTCTTACAATCTCTGCCACCTGCATTCGACGATCAGCCATGAGTAATTGCTCAACAGCAGCAATTGTTTCAGGGTTGACAGCAGTTGAGGGTCGACCACACCTTGGGTCATCTTCAAGTGAATTCCAGCCATGCTTAAACTCTTTAAACCGCCGTGCTATTGTATTGAATAGTATAATGCGGGGCACTCCCTATATACACCAACTACGCGTTGATGAATCTGCTTGGAATTATTTCCTCCTAGGGTCAAAAACTTGGTCACTGTTCTGTACTCCACCTTGGTTATTTCTATGATTCCTTCACCCCAATAAACAAACACTACTAAATAATTTATAAATATTTTAATGAGAGGGCTACAACTTTCGGCATGTATTATGCTAACCTTATGCTAAATATGGCATATACGACGTTTTTTCCCTACCATATGCACGTTTAATATAGCGGAGTTTCATAACTTTTTGAACGCCCCTCGTATGCACGGAGTTTGCCGCAATAAAGCTCGTGTCCATTTCATAGCATCAAATTGTCAATATTTACATGGAGAATGTGATCGGAGGTAGGGTGGGAAGAGGGAGGAGGGAAAGGGGAGAGAGGCAAGCCCCTCCTCCCGCTTTCTACGACCTGGAGCGAATGCATTTTTAGGTTTCTGACCAAACCAAAATGAAATTTAAGTTTCTGTTGGGAAAATGTAGAGGAAGCTAATCCCAACACGAGACACATGCTCAGGTGTGACTGTAAAGGAGGAGAAAAAGTGGGTGAAAATTTTCCTTTCAGTTCTGCCACGGACTTTGGCCGATTAGTCCTTTGAAGCACTGCTAAGTTCATCGGAAATTTATATACGCCATGTCAGCAAGGTCTGTTATAATATTTCTCTAAAAAGCTGCTTGTCCGAAAAGGACTGGCGGCGTAGGACCCCCTGGAAAATTGCTGACAGAGGGTCTCCCGCGCCCTCGAAACCTGCATTTTCTACCTCATTCTATTTTTGGTATTAATTATGTTCGGGGAAATTCCATGGAAAGGAGTGCTTACGGTCGCGAGGGCGGCAATGACAATCACAGCTGTTCAAATCGGAAGGGGAAGTGATTAAATAACCCTGAAAAAGTACAAGCGGTCTAAAATGTTTCAATGTCTGACAAGGTGTAGATATCAATATCAGTACCAATGGTGCATATGAAATGGAATTCTTTCGTAAAAAATGGCTTTATTGCTAAATAAGCTAACATGGCAGGGTTAAAATGGGATGAATGAGGGTCCAAGAAAAAAGCAGTTTTTCCACAACAGGTCAAACATTCACAATCCATAGCTCTTAAAAAAAAAAAAAATTTAATAATTATTCAATTTTCATGGCCAATTAACTGCATCCAAGGATAAGAACAATCGATTAATTACTGTTCCCTGGGATCATAAAGTCTCTCTCTTAAAACGGCATAAAACAAAAAGGCCTCTGATATGTGTTACACGTGACTCGGGCACTTGCTTGGACGACATCGAAACGCACTTCCCGGTACGAATGGCTTCTATGTACACAAAACATGCAGGGGAAGCAAGCTAGCACCAATGACATTTTTTCAACCTTCAACAAAATGGCACCGATCTCACATGACACTCTTCTTCATTCGCAAAAAAAAAAGCACAAAACAATAAGAATGCTAAATAGACAATCTCTCTCAGCATGTCTATGGTACAGTTGAATATGTCCGTCCTGGTTTTCTTGCCTTTCTGCCTAACATGAAATAGAGGAAGGAAAAAAAGGGAGGGGGGGAGGGAGAAAAATGAACTTCATGCTCTTGTTTTCTCCACCTCAGGTGTGTCTGACCTGAGAGGTGGTGCTCGAGCTGCTCTTCACCATACGGTAGGTTCGCTCAATCTTCTGACTCGAGCCCGTGATCAAGTCCTCGGGCGATCGCTCGAACATCGACCGACTGGCAGAAACACTTTGCATCGGGGAATCGATGATGCTCGACTCATCCGATTGCACAAGCTGTTGAATGTGATGTGGTTGCTGCTGCTGATAGATCTGCTGTACATTGAAGGGGCGTGGCGTGGCATTGAACGACGGGCGGCCAAATGTCGTGAATGTGGCAATGGTCGATTGGGGTACTGGGAGAGACTGATGTGGGGGTGGAGGTGGGGGAGGGGGACTAACAGGACTCCTAGGACTCTTAGGACTTCCACCTCCACCACCTGCAATCACCTGCAATGGAGAACTCTGGCCCAAGGGTTGACCATACGAAGACTGAGTCTGGTCCAGGGAAGACTTCTTCTGGCTCTGGTCAAACAAAGAAGATTGGTTGAAGGACGTTGATTGACTGTATCCCTCATATGAAGAATCATATCCATCCCAGTCGCTGGCTCCACTATCATCTCCACGGTATTTGGCCTTGCGGATCTGAGCAAGGCGTGTTCGCGCATCCTCCAACTCCTTCTCCAATCGCAGCATCTGTACATTATAAAAACAGAGTTTTTAAAAATCTCCCTGAAATTCAGCAAGAGAGCGATAATTGAGACAAGCAGGGACCTCTGAGCGGGCATTGATCTCCTGAGCAATCCCTCCAACCATCCTGGTATTGATGTATAGGTTTCGTTCTTCCTCCTGTGCTATGGCCTGCTGTGCTGCCTTCACCAGATTGTCAGTTGCCTTCTTCACAGCATTTCCAGCAGCCTGGAGTCGTTTCATGGCAGGACTGTCTGGGTCGGCCTTGACCTTGCAAGCAACCAGGAGTTGAGCTGTGGAAGAAGCCACCTGCTTGGCAGCCGAGATCAGCTTCTCCTCTGTTGAATGGCCTTGGACAAGGGCATTGGCAGCCTCGCAAAGACTATGGGTTGCAGCAGCAACCAGCCTGGCAGCAGAAATCAGGCCATCAGACCACTGCCCATCTTCTGAAGTGTAGTGAGGTCGACGACTGATCTGCATGATAAAAACCATACGATACAAAGCAGGATTAATGATGTGCCGATTGAAAACAGCACAAAAATGACCAGGTGAAGAAATTTTGGACTTTGAAATTCACCTTTCCTTGCTCAATAAGCTCCCGTTGTGCAGATGATGCAGCCTTAACAAGAGCTGAAGTGGCAGCAGCAATGCTCTTGGCTGCCTCAAGGATCATCTCATCAAAGTTTAGTGACTCATCTGCTTCCTAAGACAATAAAAAACAAACCATGAAACTTGCAAAACAGTTTGAATCACAAAAATGTATCCATTTGTAACTTAGCCCTTTGAGGGATGCAATTGATTTAAATGATGCAAATTTAACAAAATCCAGCTGTTGCTAGCAGTTATGAAGTTTAAGTTGTGTTCTTCCCTTTTATGAATAGAGTTCAGGAAGTTAAATTCTAGATGGCTCATGTAATTACTCTTGAGGGGTGGTCACAAGTCTCAACCACCTCAGGCTAAAAGTTGGTTAGATGTTCTGACCATTTTAACTGAAAGGGTTTAAGGGAAAAATAAATAGCTTGAGTCCTCCTGGAGTCTTGAGAGTGTATGGCTGAATTTGCGAGTGATCTGTGATGGTATGTTTGTATCTTGGTTGATATTCAACAACAACCAAGAATATCAAACATATCTCACTGACTCTCACTTATCCCTCTCCTCTCCACTGTTCTCAGCAGCATAACCTGGATCAAAGGAGAAAAAGAAAAAGGAAAGGACTTATTATTAACACACCTGGACAGATCGCCTTGGTCGAAGACTGGCCAGTTTCTTGGCTGCTGCATCAATGGACTTGGCAGCTCCAAGAAGCTCGTTCTCAGCAATCACGGTTGGGTCGTCAGGATCTTCCCAGTCACTGCCCTTCAGCAACTGGGCAACACTCACCAGTTCTGTCACATGTGCTGCCAGATTCCGTGATACTGATGGCAGCACCTGTTTGCTCTCTGCTGTTGGCTTAATAAGTATCTGCATCACTCGCTGCAGAAGCTCCCGGTACTCAGAGGCACAGTTTCGGCCTGCTGCCAGAGCTCTTTCCCGAATTTCAATGCTTTCAGCACCCCAAGCTGCACCCTATTACAACCAATACTTTATGCTAAAGAAACTCTGAAGCTTCTAAGTGAACACAAAGGAAACAGATACAGACTTTGCAGACAGTGAGCATGTCAGAGATGGCTTTCCTTCCCATGTTGGCAGCAACAATAACATCATCCTGCTTGCAAGAATTCCCTGCAGCCACAGCCTTGGCTGTAGCCAGAGTGATAGGTTTTGTAGCTCTGACAAGGTCTTCTGGGTTGGCACGTTTTGTTGGAGGATCTGATGAATTGAATGCCTGAAAAGAAAGAAAATAGGTGACACTTAAATACTGAGGAAGTGCTAGAATCTTATTAGATAATCAATGTCATCGTGAGTGGAGTCTTGAATATTCTTTTCCCATAGCACCTTACAACTGTTATTAATCAACCTTTTTTTTTGTATATTCAGGAATAAATTGATTGAAAAGAGCCAATCTGCAAAGAAACCTGGTTTGTCATCGGTGAGACTTGATTTGTGATGGATTTCCCTCTTCTTGATGTATATTTACAGTGTGCTTTCATGCTTCTTAAATTCAGTAATTTTAATGGGTATTTTATTTGTTTGTACCCATGGCTTGGTAAGAGCTCTAAGTCACAACAATAAATTTTAACAGCAAACTAACCCGAATTTCTTGCGCTATGGCTTCAATGGTTGACTCAAGGGCTCGTGTCCCTCGTGTGTGCTCATCTTCTACAGACTTGACAGTCTTGAGCAGGGATGTCACATTGTTCACCATCATCTGGAAAGAAAAAAGGTAATGAAAGAGGGAACTTTATGAGAGGAAGCCCCAGAACTCGTTCTCCCACCATGCGAGGTCACACCGCTGGTAAGTGTCTATGGCAGGTCAGGCTACCATACCTTATCACTCTAAGCAAACATGGTTAGTCAACTTCATGTTAAAGAAAACCAAATATTTAACCAGCATTCCAAAACTAAAGCAACACCCAGAAGATATTGAGGCCTCCCTCTCCTTACCTCTTGGTAAAACATTTTTGAAAAAAAAAAAGTGAAGAGTGATTGTGCAGTGGAAGAAGTTTATTTTGTTGAAAGAAATGGAAAAATCTAGAAAATACAGGAATGACAGAAGAGAAGGAAATGAGCAACATGGAAGGCTGGCACTAAGAACATAAATCAATAGAGTTGTCTTTGTTGTTTTATCTTTAGCACGCTGCAATAAGCTGTTGTATAAGTCTCTCCTCCTCTGGGTTCTGCTCCACCTAGTGACAGAGAATGAGATCTCTGACTCTGGCCCTCTTCATCTCCTTTCCTTACACGAACGGGATGCCAGAAGGTGGATAGGCCAGGAGTCCTCCTCCCATACCAGTTTTTATTAGACAGTTACTACACAGCAAACAAATTTCCATATCATATCATGAGCACAGAACCCAAAGTGGAGGTTTGCCTTGAGTTACGGTTAGTAAGATCAAGATTTGTCCAAGTTGGGTGTTTAGGAGGACTTGTTTCACACCTGTCCACCCTCGACATGCACTGTAAGACATTCCTCACTCCCTGCATGAAACTGCATGCAAGATATATTCTGATTGCTCAATTGCAGTTACTAAGGATGAAAAAAAATCAAAAGAACAAGCAGTTTATGTACCTAACAAAGATTAAAAAACATAATTCTTCACTGATGTTCGGTGGTGCATGTAAACAAAAGATTTTGAAAGTCCCAAGTAGAAGACTATGAAATAAAAAGAAATTAAAACAGTAACTTGAGTCATTAGAATATGAAATAGAGATGGAATTTGGTCAAGAAGAAAACAACAGTGAAGACACAGTAGACTGACCCTGGCTGATTCCTTCAAGTTGACCATGGCAGGATCTTGGATGTTCTTGCCAGCAGCACATTTTGTGGACTGAATCAGGTCTCCGAGAGCAGATGCCACATCCTTCACAGCATTGATCAGCAGTACCTGAATGTGAAGCACTCCTTGATCATCTGAAATTTAGTTTAGAATGAGAAGTCCTAGGGGAATATATAGATGTATTGAAAGAAACCTGTGCTTCTGAATTGTTGGAGGTGAGAGAGGCTGCTCCAAGTTTCACAACATCAGCCAGCTGTAAAATTGTGGCCACAGCATTCTGGGCAGCCACTGCCAGCTGTTCCTGAGATGAAGCAGCTCCTGAAGACAAAGCAAGCATGTAAGAAATCAAGTTGATGCTTTACTGCAAGTTGAGAGAGAGCCAACAAGTCATGATCAAGACTATCTCACCAGTAACAAGAGTCTTGGTATCCTCAACAAGGGCCCTGGCAGTCTTCAGGATGTTATCCCGATGGTTGGAAAAGGCATCATCCTCCACTTCAGGATTCAGTGTCCCAGCTGTTGCAAACATGATGGTTGTATCCAGGTCTCCAATGATTCCAGATACTGTGCTTGCTGCATTGATGCATGCCTGTGTTCCTCGGGAGCCTGCTTGCAATGCTGCAAGCACTTGAGAAACCTGTCAAACAAATTCAAGCCAAAAAATGAAACACTTTATATAACTTTAAAATCTTAGTAGGAAGCATAACAAATCAATGCTGGGTCTTCCCAACCTTTTCTGAGACCTGCCGAGCACTCTCAGCAAGATCTCGCTGAGCAAAGGAGTCATGAGGGGAGCCCTGAAGATTCCCACCAGCCTTGATCAACTGGATGCAGGCTTGACCAAGTTCAATCACCGAGGATCGGATACGAGATGCAAGCTCAGGACTTGTTGTGCTCAACAAAGCTCCTTTAGTCTCATGCAGGAGTGCAACATAGAAGTGAGCCAAACGAGCTGCAACTGTTGCCAGTTCACTAACATCACTTGTTGACTTTCCCATCTGGAGATAAGGAGAGCAAAACATGAAAGAATGGTACTGATACATTAGAAAGTTTGCTCTGGTATTTAACCCACCATATCCTGTGCAGTACGAGCAATCTGCTTGGCTAATTCAACCAGTTGAGTTTGGTAATCCACAAAACTGAGATCATCTCGGAACTCTCCAAGCACATGATCGTCAATGTGTTGCATGGCAGTTGTGATCTGGTCAATGAGGGTGGTGACCATACCTGCTGCAGTAGCCAGTTGCTCAAGTGTCACCATAAGATCACCCACTGCCTCTTTCAGGCTCTCCACACTCTCATCAATCTCAGCATGCACATGCGTCACCTGTTCCATGCAACCCATGAAAAGGCATTTGATTGAAGGAAGGCCTAATTCATGATTTTTGCATCAATAAATTATAATGTATAAACCTTTGAGTTTCCTGCTCCTTCCTTAGCAGCATAGATGAGCTGAAGAGCACATTCACCAACAGTCTTGGTGTGGTCCAACAAGCCTGTCTGCTGCTTTGAATGCAGCATGTTGGATGATGCTCCAATAGCACTTGATGTCAGGGGACCAAAATAGCTCACCAGCTGTGTCACCTGTACATGAACATCAGGCATCATTAAATCTTTGTAACACAAGGAGTAGGTCAGTCAAAAATGGACCAAACTTACATGATGGCCTAAGGTTTCAGCTTCGCCCTTAGCAGATTGGCGAACGGGTTCAATTCGATTCAGGATCTCACGGGCAGCTCCAACCATCTGCTCTGTGAAGCCCTGTAGGGAATTCTCTTTTCGAGGAGCAAGATTTTGGGAAATAGCTGAGAGTGAGGCTTGATCTAGCTCTTGGATGCAGCGATTCAAGGACTCAATACCAGAGTCACATTCGCGCTGACCAGGGGCTTTATCCCTGTAAAATAATCAAGATTCACCCATTGAAGCAAATTAAATACAAAGCAAACCTTCCTTAGACATGCTTCATGTCCCTTACCGAATAGAAGAGACAAGTTTCTTGATGGAGTCAGACACACTCTTGCTGTGATTGGCCAATGCCTGCCAAGTGGGAGGATCTTTTGGATTGATGGCCAACTGCTTGGCAGCCTGAATCATAGATGTGGAACCCGAGATGATAGACTTCCCAGAACTAATGATTGGTTCCTGAGATGCTCGAGCTTTGGGTGAGATGCGTGCAGGGATTGAGACAAATTCAGGTGAAGATGCAAATGCAACCAAGTTGTCCACTGCTTCCAGGAGAGGGCGGGTTGCTTCAGCACATCTGTGACGGTTGGCTTCACTGTTATCCTGATCCAATGCTGCAATTCAAAGCCAAAATTCCCAATTGAACTCAAGTGCTAGCTACTAGGCAAACAAGATTCATATATGCTCAACTGACCTTTGATATCTTTTACAAGAGCAGAGGTAGCATTGGCAACATCCTTGGCTGATTGTACAAACTGGCGCTTGGCAACCTGATTGGTGGTCTTAGAAGATGCCATGCGACAGGCATTGCATAAGACTCCAGTGTGTTTGGCAATCACAGTGGCTGATTCCAAGATCCCTTGCTGGGTTGTATTCTCAGACATAAGGGGCTGGCAGGCAGCATGGATTGCCTGTGCTGAGCGAGCAAGGCTGTTCTGATCGATTATCCCTGGTCGGCCTGCTGTGCTTGAGGGATCTGACACTCCAACGAGATATGCAGCCTGGGCAGCTGCCTCAATCAAGCCACAAATAGAACTGCTCACATTGGACACTGACACATTGAACTCTGCATGCTCTGACTTCTTGGCATGATTTGCAATCCCAGCCATCCCATCACCTGAACAAACAAAACTGGATTCAGATGTCTGCAAAGGACACAAGTCATGTTATGATTATAAATTCACTCACCAAGACTCTTTGACTTCTCCATCACTGTGTCAAGGCAGTCAAAGTAGGAGGAATCATTAATGGGTTCAATTGGATTGTCAAGGACATGTCGCATGGACTGAATGTTGCGGATGGCATTTTCACATTCTTTCTGACCAGGAGCAGCACTTGTGCAGACATCCAGGAGGGCATTTATGCTTTCTGTCAATGCACGAGCTGCACTCAGGAGTGCATTCTTAGCATTAGGGGCATTAGGGTCAGCTGAGAACGTCTTGGCTGCATGCAACAAACGAGATGAAGACGTTGACACTGATCTCATTGTGTTGATCATCTCTCGCTGGACTATCTTGTCCTGCAAAATGGGATTTACAAATGATATCCTTGATTCACTATTAAACTTAACAAACAGGGCTAATTGTGTTGCTTTTGCATACCATGGTCAGACCAGACATTTCTAGGCCAACACTCAAGAGGTCAGTGAATGCTGTTGAGAAAATCTTGCTGCTCTGTGCCAGCTGTGATGGGGATTTGGCTGTCTGGACCACCTCAGTTGAGGCATCATTCAACTGGGCTGCCATCATTGCCAACTCAGACTGCAACTCACTATTAATGGAAAATGCCTCATTATTTCTACTTTATAAACCCTGTACAGAGCAAGAGTGAAATTCATGATGGTGAAAGTAACCTGAAGCTCTTTTTTGTAGGAGGGAAATAAGAGGAATCAAGTCCTTGTGATGCACTGCTCACAGCATGGATAGCTTCATCCACATCCTTTTGTCCAGGCAAGCAATTCACACACTTACTCAGGCTCTGTGGAAATAAATATGAAATAAATAAATGAATAAATAAAAAACAAAAAAAGGCAAATAAGCAGTATAATAATCCAAACCTGTGAAATCATTCGAGCCATGGTATTCAATCTCTGCTGGTTGTCTGGAAAATGTGGATCTCTAACAGCATTGCGAGCTTCTTCAATCAACTCCATGCTCTGGTGCATGACCTGATGGGCCTCTTGTATCACCCTGCACAGCAAACACCATTATAGTACGGACATATAACATACATTATAATGTAGGGGAGAAATCACCATGGAGTAGCATCAATGCTTACCGATCTTGAATAAAGCGGTCATTGGATGTGGCAGCCACACCTCGGACAGCATCAGCCAGGTCTTGCAGAGAATGAGCAGTATCTCGGGCTGCCTTTCCTGTATAATGTTCATCAGCCTGCGATGCTGCTGTTAGGAGACCGGCCATTGCAGATCCTACAGATTTTGAGCTTGTTCCTGCTCACCAGAACACACAGGAGCAATAAGGCATTGAAAAAACATTCAGGAATTGAGGCACTCTGCAATAAAATAGGACTCAGAGCTCCCTACCAAGATGAAGAGCAGTGGATTCTGGAGTTTCCCCAGGAAGAGGCTTGAGTTGCCCCATTTGTGCAGCCTTATGGAACTCCTCCAACTCTATATCCAACCCTCGTATGAGCTCAAGGGCAGCATCCAGCTCAAGAGAGCCACAGACCTCTTGGGCTCGGGTCACAGCAGAACGCAGGTCACCCAGGGCTGATCCAAGCTGCTTACTGCTAGTGCTCAACTGCAGATGACATGCCTGATCCTGCACCGTTGGCAATACGGATTTGGTGGAAGCTACTAACTTGTCTCCAGGCTGAAGGGGAGGGAAATAAACAAAAATATTTTTAAATTGTACTGCCACATCATACTCCCTCACAAATGCTGTAGTGTATCGAGATACTACCTCAAAAAAAGAACATACCAAGAGAAATTGCTGAGAAGCATCGATTAGATTGAGCTGGGCATTAGCATCATGAGGACGATTCATGGATTCCTTCACACCCTGCACCAACTTGGGGATATGATCAGCCACTTCCCGACAATCTTGCATCATCTCAACCTGTGAAGCCTGGTTGGTGTTGTGTGGACCAGAAGCCTGAGATGCTGAGATGCACTGGGTCCCTGCTGCTGCTGCATGTTTGGCTGCATTCTAACCCAAGGAAATCATGAGAGTCATCATCTTATCACAGTTCTCTGGTGATCCGTCATATGAAGGAAATCTTACTTCAAGGCGCTTCATCAGCTTCTTCTTCAGTGCATTGCTGGCAGCCATGTTGGTTGCATTCCTAACATTCTCAGCAGCTTGCTTCAATGCCATTTGATGCTCAATGTCATCTGGATGAGAGGCACAGGCCTTAGCACATTCAACCATACGTGCAGTAGCATCTGCCAAAATCTTGGCTGCAGTCAACAGGTGATTTTTCATATCCGAATCAGTCACTGTGTCTGCCTCTCCCTGAAAACAAAAACACATACATATAAATCTCCTATGCAAGTCAGTTGCATTGAAAATTCTACTAATTAATTTGTTGACAGAGGGATGAATATCGTCAACATCACATTTCCCAATTAGCCCAACAGGTACAAGGACATCAGACTATTGTTTTCACTTCTTTTTTTTATCTTAAGGATTTCTGTGGAGATGAACTTGAGATCCCTTTTCTTTTTAAGCAGGAAAAATCTCTCCAGAAATGAGTAGGCTAAACCATGCCAAAAACTCAACCAAGCTGCTTCCAAGCCATTTTGAATATGAATGGTGGAATCCATCTACCTCGAGAGGAAACATCTTCCAGAGAATCAGTAATAAATGTGTACATTCTGGACTACTGATGAGGAGTAGGGACTTCATGTTCCAATTTAAGATATGCTCTAGAAGATTCCATGCTTTTCATACTTATACTTTGTCCAGGCAACAAATAACCAGGAGGTTTGTGGGTCCCTTAACTTGACAAATTGACTTCAGGTGCAATTGCATGATTAGTACTCTATCCACAAATGCAACTTTATTTTGTTTTAAAATGACCAACAAAGTAGTGTTTTGAGGAGCTTGAAAATTATCAGAAAGATGCTTTGGATAATTGAAAACAGCAGGTTGATGACAGAGTGAAAAAAAACTGATCCACTGGCTTCTAGGAGAACCCAAACTGAAACAGAGATGCAAGAGAATTCATAGCTAGATTTTCCTTCAAATGTTGATGCGAAAAGACTGAAACTCTAAGGTACCTCTCCCCTCCTTGATCAGTCCATTTCTGAAGAGTTAGGAGTAATGGTATCAAGGTTCCCACAACAGTGGACTTCTCACCTTGATAGCTTGGATGAGTTGAGCTGTGGCTTGGGCAAGGATTCTTGCCTGCCTGACCATCTCTCCTGAATCTCCAGTGCTGGAAATTAATTTATCAGATGCACTCAGGATCCGATCTACTGCTCCCTCCTCCATCGACTCCTTGACCCGAACTCGACCTCCCATTCTGTCACATTTCACAAGCATGTCAGTTTATCTCAAAAAGTCCCATGATATCTTAGATGATGGCAGACAGAAAAAACGCACTTGATGTGGTTGAGGAGGTCATTAAGAGCACGTGTGACTTCAGATGCAGCTGCACCCAAGTCAAGCAGAAGCCTCTCATCCGCACCTGTAGCATCCTGACATGATGCAACTACTCCTTCAACAGCCCTTGCACTGCTTTTTGCAGCCTCAATCAGCTGTTCTTGACATGCCCTGTCATCTATTGTTGGTGCTACTACCTACAGATTCAAATTTTGTGTTTGCTTTCCAAATGAACACAAAAAGATTTGTTATACATGAAGTTAAGGCTTACCTTTGCACAAGCAACAAGTTGTGATGTGGCCAAGGCACACTGAGTTGCAGCAGCAATAATGCGGTTCTGCAGGTCCTGGTCGTCTGCTGTTGAAGCCACATTCTTGGCTTTGAGCACAAGAGCAGCAGTGGCATTGGCAACTGCTTTTGCCAGTCCAAGGAGAATGTCCTGGACCTCTGAATCAACAGCATCCTCTTCTTGTATGGTTGAGAGCACCTTGTGAGATGCCTCCCCAACTCTGCTGGCTGCTCCAAGCAGATTCTGTCTTGGCTATAGAACAAGCAAGACATTACAATAAAAACACTGTGGATCTGGCAAAGAAATCAGGCTCTTTCTGTAAAGACTTGAGGCTCTTCACCTCCTTAGCTTCAGGTTCTGCTGCCCGTAGGAGGTCAGAGAAAGCAGCACAAAGTTTTCGGGTGGCTTCAATGAGACCATCTCCTTGCCTGTCATCACCCATGAGAGCAGCTATCATCTTCACACCCTTTGTCATCTCAGGGAGATTTGATGTGATTGTGCTGATGGCAGCACCAACAGCATTGTGGTCCACTTCATCCGCTGGAAGCATTAAACATGCTTCAGTGACACACTGAGTGATAAGACATGAACACCTAGAAGAGGAAAGGAGGCTCACCTCCAGTGAGAGTAACAGCCTGAGCAGTGGCAGCATTCATGGCAGCCAGTTGAGACCTCACATTCTGCTTGTTTGTGTCAAGGGTCACCTGTCGCCACTTGCGTGATGCAGGATCTGTTCCTAACTCAGGAATTTCAGCTCGAGTCTCCAGATCCCGTTCTGCCCGACGAATCGCTTCTTGACCACTTGAGATGGTCGACTTCAGAGCTCTCTGTGGCTCACTCAGCATTGCATACTGGGGGCTCAATGGAGCCTTAAGAAAAGATGCCACATATCATTATAACAAGTGGAATGACAGCCTTGATACAACTAGAAAATATTAGTCTGCTGAACTACTTGCAGCTTCAGTATGAATCATACTGTTACAATTTGGCTAGAGTAACCTATCACTCAATCATATAACAATATGAACTTCTCACATAAACTCTTCCACAATCCATGCAAGAATTGGGAGAGGCATAGTACTAAGGACTGTGAGTTGTCACATTACTGTATTAAGTGAAAAAATTAAGTGGGAAGGGATCAAGGGGTACACACCGGGGGTGAGCGATGAGAGATGGATACCTGTCCATGGGTCATTCCATGCTGAGCAGGGCTCATGTGACCCCGACCATAAGTATGCTCTCCTACAGAAAAACACAACAATCCATATTCCTTGGTCTGTCTGTCTCATTTTTGAATGAATGCACTGCTGTAAAGTTTTTCATCAGAAAGAAATTAGAGGATAAAGAGGAGTTCAACAGCAGTCATGTAGTGACTCTTTCAAGGAGATGAGAGCATGGTACTTACAAAGTTGAATGGGAGACCTATGAAGCAAGGGAGCAGAAGTGGAAAAGAAGAGACAGGAAAGAAACTGGATAGAAGGCAGAAAATCGAAAGGCAAAGGTAGAAGTTGATAGGTATGGAACCAACCATTCACAATAATTACATGCTTTCTTCCAGTAGACAAGTCAATCCTGGGTCCATCTTCAGCAGCATTAACAACAAGAAAGTCAAGCAACATTGAATCTTGAATAATTCATTCTGCTTCAGAGACAAGAGCTGGAGCCTGCACTACCTCTCTCAATTGGAAGAATTCAAGAGGAGGGTGGAATGGTGGCAAATGAATTAGGAGGACAGGGCTCACCTCCAGCATCTCGGACTACAGCTGGTTTGGCCACACTGTCGGTGCTGATGCGAGTGCCTTCCTGGAGAGATTGGTGCTGTATCATCGTTGCCCTAGGAATTTTCAACATGGGATGAGACCATGAAAACGTTGTCAAAGGAGAGTGGTAGAAAAGAAAAAGCAACATTGCTCACCTCAGGGGTGAAACACTTTCCTCAACCATTGTGCTCCCTTCATCTCCTTCAATGCCAATGTGATCCTTGTCCTTCCTCTGCCATTGCAAAATATTTCCCACTCATTATTGCAAATAACCATTAAAGTGGTAGACAGTGAAGAAAGAAAATTCCCACGATTATGAATGTGTTTACCTTTTTGAGGATGATATCAATATATCCAGAAATAAGCTGGGAGATCTGCTCTCCCTCAGTGGTCTGGACAGAATAATAGCCTTCAGAGTAGTCACCAAAGTCCAGCGTGAAGGTATTTGGAGACGCTCCCCAACGTTTGACGGATGTTAGTGGGTAATCCTTCAATGTTTCCTTTGTCTTCTCATCCAATCGCAGCACTGATTCCTTGGTTACGCCCAAGAGGCGGGGCACCAGCTTATTCTTACCTTTCATCTTTTCCTGTTATTTTTAATGCAAATATAAATTTATGCATTTTGCAATCACACGAACTAGAACTATGAAGCTTCTTTGTAAGTCCACCTCACCTTGACGAGGAAGAAAGCTACGCCATATGTCGGCAAGGAGCGTGCGAGTTTGGTGTAGCGCACTTTCGCCTCTACGTCGGTGATTCCTTTGTGCTTCAAGTGCTCAACGAATATTCGTTTCTCACCGTTCTTCAGCTTCGTATATGAGTGAGGCAAAAACTCACGCACACTGCAACAGAGATATATCCTCAAACTCTATTCCCCTTGGTGGAACATATTGGAGAATTTAGACTAACTCGAAGAGTCCAGGGCGATGCTTCGTCTCGTCGTGATTTCCAAACTGAACCTGACATTGGAGACCGGCAAACTGGAAGGCCTTGTCTTGTGTCACGGGGTGAGTTCCGTCGATGATGGCATCTCGGCATTGAACGTAGAGGAGGTTCAACTGCACCGGATCTCGCTCGTCGATGTTTCGGTCGGAGAAGAAGTACTTCCGTTTGAGAAGGAGGGTCTCGGATTCGTCTATGCCCTGCTCCCTCAGGGTCTTGCTGTGATCCACCCAATTGACTAAAAGTATTTCCCATGAAAAATGTCATGCATTTAACCAGGCAGATACAAGGGCCAGCTCAGGATTTGGATACTCACTTTCATCGTCGGTCTTGAGTTTCTTCTTGAGTTGTTCCATTTTGGGATCAATCTCTTTGTCTCCTTCCTTGCGTCTTCTCAAGGTAAGAGTGCCAAAATTTGATGGGGGCTGGGGCCTTTCATTCTCTTCGTCTTCTTTCTCTCTTACCAGGGAATATTCGTCGTGATTTGTGATTCCTGAAAATGCCCAAGTGAAGATCATAAACGCCGTGACAATCGTCATTGGAAGACACGGTTCAATGACCCTCACCAATTTTAGTGCAAATGACCACCATCTGATTGGCGACATGCTGGCTGTCATCCACCATCATAGTTTTCACGGTTCCATCCAACATCCGAATCTTCACTTTTCTAAACTTCTTTCGATACTCCAGCATGTCCTAGAGGAGCGAAAAGATGCCATGCGTGGGTGCTCCAAAGTTATACATGCCGAGCAGAAATATAAACAGATCCTGATCTGCCGAGGACAATATGACTCACCCCATCACGCAGCATGTAGTAGTCGAGTGTGCGTGCAGATTCTAACCATACACCCTTTTTGGGATCATCATCAGACAAGAAGAGCCCATAGTCTTTTACTGCAAAAAGAAATCATATCATGTATTATACCCAGTGGAACAACAGAATGACGGAAAAGAGATGGATGAGAACTAAGCTCACCATCACCAAGATTAGGCACTGATTCAGAGGCTTTCTCCCAGATGAATTTACAGGCATCATAGACCTGCATGGTCTGCTGGAAATGCAAGGTCTTGGTCACGCTGCTCTCCACAATGTTGATTTTCAGGGAGATCGTCATGTTTGCAGATATTTTAACAATATTTATCAAAATCCAATCTCTCAACAATCACGCCTGGGTGATCCCCTTAGCACCAATCTGAAAGAGAACCCAGAGAGTTTCATTATTTCCGTTCATTATACCATGTCATCTGAGGAAATAGAGATTTTGATTAGCATGGAGTCACAGTTCATAATACAGAATTCACAAGGGAGAATCCAACTCCATTTACGGAGCCTGACTTTAGGGAAGGAAAAACCATGTCTGGTTTCCCGAGGGAAATGGAAAGAGGCATGAATCTCGATGCAATTAAAAAATACTAGATGAAAGATACAACTGCGTGAGGGAGCGCGAGAGAGAAAGAGGGAGAGCGAGAGAGATAGAAAAACGAAAGGAAGGGAATTTGTGCATCTCTCCCTAGGGAGGAGAGATATTCTCCAGGTCCTGATAAGGGCAACTCCAAGCGCAATCCCTTTCCCCTTTTCTCATTTCTCCCGCTCAGAGAGATAAAAGAGGTTTCTGCCGTACAATCCCTATTTTTCATTGGCCGGTCGCCGATATGCCTTACTGGAGTGCGACTCCCATATCGTCTCGGCACTGTCCATCTACAACAGCTGCGGAACGATCTCTCTCCCAAATGTAAAACGCATTGTGCTGCGTCACAAAGGGACACGACGTGATGGCCTGGGAGGGGAATAACGAGGGAGACCCGAAACATCAAGTGGACTTGCAAATGGGCATCATGTAAGGAAAGACGAGTGCCTGTGCATGACAGCTCAATGGCAAATGAGATTATCCTCGCATGAGTGGAGTAATGTACCATCTACAGATACACACACTTGCACAGACACACCCTCTCTCTCCGTCGCTCCTCCTCTCAAGGGTGGGAATAATAACATAAAAACAGGAAGGATGTCACAGTCACGGTATCGCAGAGCGAATGCAGGAAATAGCGAGCACGGCGAGGACTGGATTGCGGGACCAATCCACGGAAGACACCATAAATGGAAAGGAGGAAGGAAAGAAATCCACATGTCCACCTGCCCTGGGGGCAGGCCCAAGCCCAACCACGCACTCGGATCATCAGCTACGTTCCCCACGATCCCGTAGCCTCCACCAGAATTTTTAAAATCCTTCTCTCCTGAGCGACAAGACTTTCAGGAACTCGGTCTACCGGAAAGTATTCGCTTCGCGAAAGAGAGAACAGTCTCGAACTCGAGCAATGAGCCTTCGTAAAGCGTCGAGAAGCAACCGTGCCGAGGTCCAACAGTCGGTCATGCAGAGAGAAGCAGACACGTCGAAAGGAGGAAAGAAAATTAAGGTGAAGGACCTTGGAACCTGGCAAAAGCAAATAATCCTAAGCCTAAACGACATATAACGGAGCTGGGGTGTTGTGTCCCCCAGGCTGAAGCACAGGAACCGAATCCGAGATATGTCAGAGAAGCGCTTGCAACCCCTGCCCCACACATTCGCTGCATACAAATCGTACATAATTTCAATCGAAACGCCACATACCGATGAAACATGCGACATTCAAGCTACGTACTCATGATGTATCGAACATTGCAGCATGCGCCATTTTTTTGTAGCAGATTTGTTGCGGGCGATGAGGTCTTTATATTATGGAACGTGAGCTGAATTATTACGATGGCGTCTGACTCGGTGGTACTGGAGCAATGTTGCAATGCAAGACAGGCAAGCCTATCAGCGCTATTTGGATTGCCGAGCTTACATTTCTGATCCGATGGAAGAAGGATCAGAACGAGAGCGGAGGATCATATTCGAATCCCTCCCGTTCGACACGATTCTGCCGAAATCTCGTTTGTCTCCAGAATGAGTTCACGGTAAGCGGGAGACCACGCCATACGTTTTTTATGCATCACGTCTCGCGCGGACCGGTTCGAGTCGCGCCGAGGGGATTACACCGATACCCGACCCCTACTTCGACCCCGCTCCAAAACGTCATCTGCTGCGACTCTCGGCTGCTTCACGCCATTCCGACTATTGCAAAGGCACGAACGATATTAACACTTTCGCTGCCGAGTCGATCGAGTGACCGACATGGTGTGCCACAACGATACAAAACCCGTCCGGCAGCGAAAGTGTTAGGGGGGAAGTTAAAATGTGGGAATCGTTTCGAATACGGCTACCAAGTCCAATCGTAAACGTGTGAGCACTTTCTCGGCTTGCAGCTCATCCCGCTTCGCTACTCACTGCTTGCATTCGGCGATGGATGCTTACGTGACTCCAAATAGCAACAGCACTCTCCTCCCACGTCGTTGAGTCATGATAACGTTGCATTAGACGCAATTTCACAGCACGCCGAAAATATGCCTTCAGCCAAATGCTGCCAGATACAAAATTCCACGAAGATGACATCATGGAGAAACATGGGTGAGCCATCGACTGTACATTCCCAACCCAAACTCATCTCGGAGGCCACGGACATGGAGTGTTTTGAGCAACTTGTGAAAGTTTTTCCTGGCGCCGCTGGGGAACTTCCGTCGATTTCGAATCGAGGAAATTTACTTCGAATCCGTTTGACCGTTCTCTGATACTCGAAACCTAAAAGTATGCTGTGCTTGGACGCCTCGTCGGATGTTCCTCTACGATCTACATGACCATCAAAAACCATTAAAGATCTGGAGCCAGAGCAAGCCTATGCTCTCATCCGTTTTCGCATTCGACTGAAGGCACAACAGGAAAGAAGGTCCTGCCTTCGGGGAATACAGACTTGAACAGGACGGGAAGTTCTCCTACCGATCCAAACACCAGGACCTTCTTTCCCTCCCTTGTCCATATCTGAAAGCATGAATAACTCCTATAACGCCATAAATCCCAGAAAATCGTAATTCGCCGGGCTGTCATCAGTTTACCTAACACGAGTTATCTCTGCGGCAAAGGGTAGCGATTGGTGACCGAGGATATTTATTGCCAGTAGCGTTGATGAGGCCCTCTCAAATGGGCAACATCACCATAGCATTGCAGAAAACGAAAGTTGGCTGTGTAAGATGGACTAGACTAAGAAAGACATTTAAAAAGAAGCTTCTTTACATAATTAATACCGAGAAGAAAAAAAACTGCAGAGCCACTGTCTCCAGATAAAATCCAATGCTCTGGAATATCGAAGTTTTCATATTCGACCATAAATCGCCGTATATCTTTTGGTCGTGTACACAATGAAAGCGCAGCTGGGCGCACACGGGCGTAAACAAGCGCATCGTGTGATTAGATTGAAAACGCTGGCCTACACGTGTTGCGCGCGTATTCTCAGTCTTCCAGCGCTCCCATCGTCATGGATCTCTGGGGATCGTGCACGAGGCAGCTCTAAAAGGAAAATAAAATTTTGGTGCATCCAATCAATTATTTGTGTGGCCCACAAAAAGATTTGGGCTCCTGGATATAGTAAGTAACGCTGGGAATAATGCGTAACGTGGATCTCAATCAGGTCAGCCACCTGAGCTGCTATCTTAGCTGTTCCGCACCATCTGCAGTCATAAACTTCACTCTTCAGCCTTCGACGTTAGCTGCTTAAGGGGTCATCGAGCATCCAATCCGGTTGGGTCCAAGGCGAACGGCGGCTTCAGTGGTCGACCCGAGTCTCACAATCCCCAGCGAGATTGCAACAGTATTGATAGGATATGCAACAATATAATGCAATGAAATTTGCCTTCTAAAGTCCCGTCAACTTAGTACTAAGCCAGAAACACCCAGATCACCCAAAACTACGGCAGAGATGAAAGAGCAGGCAGACATTCTCGCGACTGAAATTATCCACCAAAAGGAATATAGTAAATATATAGATTCTCATCATACGCACGGGTGTGGAAATAGAGCGACGCCCACACTCCCATTCAATTGAACGGGTTCTATTTTTGCGCGCCGGGTGCTCAAGCGCTTTGCGCTCCGTTACGCTGGAAGTGTGCACACGCCCTGTCCCTTCACTGACACGACCAACAACGAACAAGGTTAACATGCTAAAAGAAGTAACACTGATCCATTGCCACTCTGCTACCTACATCCTTAGCTCATGTGGTATGCTAGGAGCTACCGACACCAGTGAAAATTTGATGGGAAAACGAGAAGCCGTGCGAGCAGAGGAGGCTCGCGTGACGTGACTGTCTGGATGGTCGCCTGTTTCCTCTAGTGAAGTGTTACTTAAACTTTTTGAGCCGGGGAGCAGCACATCCGGACATAACCAACTTTACGTTGGACCCGCTGAAAAAAGGCTTACTGGTACTAATTAAAAATTCATTCTTACTGAAAAGTACATGCCTTTGCGGGCCACGGTTTGAGTACCACTGCTCAAGAGCCTCTCCACCTCCACTCGTTACCGGCGAGATAACATCCACTCCTCCAGGGGTCAGAAGATCTCATAATTTTTTTTTCTCTGAATGGCTGGAGAGGAGACAAGGCGGAGGCTTTGAAGCTTATTATCATCCCTTCCCGTCCTGGCAGAGGTGGCGGGAAGAAAACGCCTAGCACTACGCGATAGAAAGTCCTGACTTCTCTGTACGAGTTTCAGGATTAGAGTCTCAAATTTCGAGCCTCACTTGACTCAAAAGCAAAAGATAAAAATGAATGCTTAGGGAAAACCCTCCATCCTTGATGGCATGAAGCACTTGGTAAAGCCTTTATCCAGCGAAATAGCCAAGAAAGGTGGAAGTTTCTCCTTTAGTTGTCTTGTAGCAGAAGCGGCGATATAGATGGAATATAGAAATTCGTACGAAGAGTGTTCGCGTCTCAACAGCCAAGGTACTCTTCTTTCCTGTCGGAAAAAAATGTTCTGAATCTTCTACAGGGTGTGGTAAAAAAAAAAGGAACCCCGACTTTTTAAACTTAATACTGCAACTCTTCACTCACAGAAGCCATCCACATGCTCTGGACTTAGTGGCGCCGTTCCAACGAAACTTGTACTTTGTATAGAAAGAAATGTTCCCAATACCCCTTTGAAATGTCATAAAACTTCGTTCTGATACATCAAGGCGATCATAGAGTAGAAATCGGAAATTGAAGAAGGA